GGCTTCAACAGCTAGATAGTACTTTTTAGTGACCATTCCATCATCGGTTTTCATTCTTTGATGACTTTTTCTCGGCGTTTCTGTCACTTGTTCAGTCTGAACTTTTACTTCGAATGTTCCCTTCTTACTTGGCATAGTCTTTCGTGCTGAATGAGAGTGATTCGCCACCAATTCAAATGCTTATTAGAGAGGTGAGGGTGTCTTAATTGAATGATTGCGTGCATTAATTGCTAGCAGCGTTTCTGCCTTATTGGAAATCATTTGACCAACCGCTTTAAGTGAAAGAGATTTGCTCGGCGATAGTTAGGTCGGTGAGCTCTTTGAATACAACAAGGGAGGTTCTACGGAGCGATTCTCTTTCAACCCGAGGGCACCTCATAGTTGCAGTAATGTTTAGGAAGTTTTTCATCCATTTCTCTCCTCATTCCTATGACATCCAGTAAATAATCCTTACGTCAGTAATTCTATCCTAAGTGTCCCTTCAAGTTTCTTTGTGGTTTCGTTCGGTTTTGCATCTTTTTCTTCTGAATGCTTCCTACGTCGTTCTTTTCAAAGTCGAGAGTGGCAGCACTTTTTCATCCGCATTTTTGTGTAATAATTTGTAAAAATTGGAACGCTACTTACTGATCCATCTATTTTGCACTTGTCGGATGACTTGACGTGCAGATGCTCCATTTTTTTCTCGCAAAATCTTCCTTGCCCCCGTCTTTAGACATTTGATAAAAGAACGAGAAATCTTGCTGAGGAGTGACCTTTTTGGATAGAATCGCGTCAGTTTCATGAAGTGTATATTTAGAATTTCCAAATATTTCCTCTTTTCAAAGCTCAGTCATACTCCACACTTATCCTTCTGCCCTATTCACCTGCGAATTTAGATTGTCTGATCAAGTCTCATGAAGAAAATAACAAGTTTTTAGTGTTCTCTGATTGTGTGCTCGAGTCATGGCTCTTTTTGTTCGAATATCCGGTCTCAACCATTTGTGTTTGTTTATGTTTTGTCTGATTCTGACTACTTGCTTGTACAGTCTGTAGTTGAGACATCATTTGAAAGTGTAAATACCAGACTCATAATCATCATAGGAATAGCATACGGGCGGCTGTGGTATTCGACCAAAGTGGGCCTCACTTCATATCCTCGTCTCTTTCATGCGACGCCTGTACCATCTCATATATAGCTTCTTATACCATGTCCATGTCAGGATCTGAGGATAGCAGCAGAGCCTTTGAAATTTACCATCACCGAACAACGGGAGTCTCTGGAAGTGGTGGCCCTGGAACTCTTCAGGCTGGTTCTCGCAGGCTTAGACTTCTGGAAGTTAGGCAAAAGAGAATATATAAAGGGGCTATGCGATGTTCCTGCCTAACTTGATCCATTCGTTTTCAGTCGACCGTCTTAGCATGGTGTTTTTATGGCTGTAAAGACCTTTACGTGAAGCCCAATTGGGCCCCAATAAAGGGTACAATTGGAAAGAGTTTCCGAAACTCACTTGATGAAAATCATAGCAATCGAATTGACACAATCGTCCTCCGTCCTCGGTTATCTCTAATAACCTTCCCAAGAACATGGTTCAGTGGTTAGGGAGCTGGCTTACGCCACTGCAAAGATTTTCTTGACTTTTCATCAAGTCGATTCTGCTAATGGAGTCGTCCAATTTCATGCATGGCTGTACAAAATCATCGTCGTTGGTGACCTTGCAGCCCATTTTGCCGGCGCAGGCGGAGCAGTTCTCGTTTTCGTTGCGTTTTCCTTTCCGCAAAGTTACATGCAAGGTCACACGTACTTTGCCACCAACCGCAACTCCGTCGATCCAACCGCAATCAATTATTCGTTGTACTGAACGGAATAGGCGTTATTTTCTCTTTACTTTTTTGATTTCTGGAGTAGTGATTGACTATCTCGAAACCTGGTGGCTTCAGGAAATTTATCGCCATTCGAATTCAATCGTAAAAGGATTTTTCTTCGGGTACTTTTTTGTGAACGACCTTCTCCCGCCCTTTTTTCTCCCTTCATCTGCCAAGATCTCCCTTTTGTTTTTTATATGAACATTTTCTGTGGTCGAATTACTATTGTTTATCATAGGGAACGCGCTCTGGATTAATTTCAAGCAATTGAAATTTTAATTTCAATTTTCTCAATTGGAAAGGCTTCAAAGTTGCTCTCAACTCCCTACCTCACTGGTAGTTCTTGATATGCCCAACATGGAAGCAGAGTGTAGATGAGCTTAGTCCGTCCTGAGAGGCAGCCGATTTCTTGTATAATCGTGACCTCCCTTATGTACTCTGATGGTACTTCATTAACTAAAGTGTTGTCCGTATCGCCAGCATAGTTGGTGCAGAGTGATGGTGGTGGTGGTGGTGATGGTGTCGGATTACGCATGAGCTGTCCATATCATGCGTCTTCCTGCTGCCATTGCTCGTGATGCTGCTGTTGTGCCCTTCTCTCCCTCCCGCCCCTTGTCACATCACAACAACTTGCTAATGACCAGCGCCTATTTGAAAGTTCACGCCTTCACCACAAGAGCGCCTTACAGCCAAGTTTATTACCGTCATATGTTTTCTGAATAGTTGGTCATGTGATTCGTGCTTCCTGACAGTGTGTATGGTACTCCTTTTGCTTTTGGGGTGTCGTATCTGGGTGAAGTTATTGTGCCCGCATTTTCCCATTGGAGTAGCTCAATTCGATTCCCATTGTAATAGTGTATACTGACAGCCTCGTGCATGTTTCCTGCTGGGTTGCCGGGAATTGTAAGCTTGTGCAGCGAGCTGTCCCCTTTTCAATGTCCCATTGTGAGTCCACTACGGGGGTTGTCACCCAAATGGAATACGTGTACGTATTTGCAATTCGCACTTGGCGAGACGGAGACGGTTGTGGTAATATGAACCCGAGACAGCTCCTCTTCTCGCATTCTCAATCGTATCCACTGGCAGAGCATTCTGACCGGCAATGCTCTAAATAAGCGTTTATGTCATTTGTTTTCTCTCTACTTTTTCCGATGCTGAAATTGTTGGCAAATATTATCCCTCCAAAGACTGCTGCTTTCTGTATCTGCTCGATAATTAGCCTTTAGCGGAAAAATTCGAAAATTTCCTGATTTTTAAAAAATTCCCGATCATATGGCAAAGCTAGTATTGAATGAGTGAGAAAATTTGAATCAGCTTTTGAAAAAAAATGATGACTGCTTCAACGGTATCGAAAATAAGTTTTCTATTCTGAAGTAGTTGTTTATGTAGCTTCGTGGATGGCCCTGGAAAACGGCCTATTCAGCTTTAAAAAGTTTGTTTTAAATGAGTAGAATTTTCATTTTCGTGCCCCTAGTTCGTTCAATGACATTTTTCCAAAAACGGTTTTACATGCTCGTTCAAAGAACCCCTCGTAAGCTGGTCCCATCNCCCAGCAGGGAATCGTCCATAGTGTTTTCGGTTGGTCACTTGCAGCGATATGTCTTCCCTCCCATTGACCCTATTCCGGTGCCTCTGCACGCGGGCAATGAATCATGTTCCTCATCGATTCGTTGATTTCCGATATTCTGTTCTCTATTTTGTTGCTCGATTTCTCCTATGCAGTAACTCTATCCATTGTTTTACCGTAGATTCCATGTTATTTCATTTTCGTTCATTTGCTTTGCTTCTTCAAAAAGTCCTGTCCCCACCACCTATATGCTATTGGTTACTTCAGTTTGGGTAGTTTCTAAAGATTTTTTTCTTTTTCCCCATGATTCCTGACTTTGGCGAACTTATTCAAATGTTTGCTGAAGTGGCTATGATGGTTCTGATTCAGGGATTACCTCGACCCTGCCTACTCATGCGAATTGTGACCTAATTGTTTGTCTAGACGGACGTCATTGTCGTGAGGTCATTAACGAGGTCTTACAGGGGATTATTACTGAGTGCACACCATTGTGGAGCCTATTCCGATCGAAACTTTTGAAGGCACTTCCAAATATTTTTCGCTTGACTGGTTATCCTTACATCGTAGTGGTAGAAGGTCTCTATTAAATTTGAAGGTTCTTTTATGATGTGGTTTTTAAGGCTGTCCTGTTTTCTTTTGATGGGTATCGAACCAGCTGGGCTTCCCAATCAAATTGCGTTGGGAAATGAGAGATTCGATTGAGCACGAAACACCTACGATCATACAGAATGAGCATTTGCTCGACTGATCCATCACCTTACTATCCCTCTTGTCATGAGGTTGCCTGGCATGAGCTATGAATATCCACGGGGGAACTGCAGTGTCCGTCTGACCACCACCTTTGCTGCTGATCGTGTAGAAGCTCTCTTTTACTACTCGGTACTGGTGCTTCTCTGAAATTCGCATTTGTGGCGCTTGCTACACAGCAGATCAGTTTGAGAAGCATAATGCTGAGTATCGTTCCATGGACTCCCATGCTTATACACAATCATTTACTTTTTCTATCTAATGGGATTGTTATAAGGAGCGTTTCACTTCATGTACTCTTGATTTCCGCTGATCCAATGATGACCAGTGAGAGAGTGGTTCAGTGGTGTTAGGACGATCACTTTTGATGGGCCCAACTGCGTTACAACGCTGGCGTAGCGCTACACTTCCAGCTGTTCTCGTCATCTATCCCGCGGCGAATGATGTCCGTTTCTAAGTTTTGACCAGTTCAGTCGCCGGATACCCCAGTGAATGAGAGAGAGGGCAATTGTTCAGTTCGAGGGAAAGATACCCTGTGGGACTTTGGTTTTCCCATTAATTGGTTCATTTTTCTCCGTTGTGTTTTGTAGTCAGCCATAGTCTTTTTAAAATTTGTTTACGCTATAGATTTGAGTTGTTTAAGCAGTAAACAGGGCTACAAACCTGTAGTGTCAAAGAGATCTGAGTAGAAAGTTCTACTTCTCACTTGAACTACCGTTAGCTTTGTAACGATGGAAGAATCTCCTTACAAAGTTCCCTTTTGTTCGATGCATGTTGTGAATCTTGATCACCCTTGGAATCTCATTCTACAATGCCTCTTTGCCCCTGTGAACTATGAACACAATTAAGCATGTTGTTTCAGTAGATTAAAAAGAAATTCCATAATTTTCAGATTCAACAGTGAACGTGGAGTTCGTGGAGGACGTGAAAGTGAGCTCGCTTGGCGTCGCACGAACAACCAGAATTCTTCTGACAAGAGCCAACACCCATCGTCATCATCGTCTTCAGAGGGCAGTAGTACAACTGCAGCGTCAAAGCGCGGCTCCTGTTTCTTTCCAAACAAAGTTGGTCCGACGAACTGGTCAGCCATCAACTCGGAATTGAAGAGCAAACAGAAAATAGCCAAGGTTTGTTTAGTGCATTGATTTCCATTCGTATATCGACGGCATTTCAAGAATACCATAAAAATTTACGGGAAAGCTGATATTTGATTAAATTTAGAAGCTGGGAGAGGGGGAGACAGAGGAAAGGTCCTTTTTGGTTATGAAGGTCGTATTGTTTTTTTTTTCAAAATCACCAGAGTTCAAACTTAGTTTCTACCATTCCATTCCGTACTGGTGCTCACCCAATAAACTTACTTCGTTGCATTGTTGTATTTCGTTGGTGTCAGTGAGAAGACCTCCATAGGTCACTTCGAAAAACACTTAATTCCACCAAAACCTGTTTCCAAAAAAGCCTTTCCCCCGTCTATCGCACAGATTATTACATCTAGTCCGTCAATTTCTTCTTAATTGTTTTTTATTCATTTGAAGATTTTGTTTTTGCATCAAGTTGTCGTGGATTCGCCTTATTTGAGCTCTGTCATATATTTATTTCTTCTGCGCTTTTTCTTGATCGGGTGTAATCTTTCTTATGAGTGAAAAAGCTTTGATCGAAATGCTTGTTTATTAATGAGTTCCATGTTTTGTTGACATTGGTGGAATTCTAGCAAATTCCCCGTAAATACTTTCTGACCGCTTTAGCTTTGGCTTCCCGTCGATGCTCGTGGAAATGGCATCAATAGCTACATTGATGGGATAATATCGCGATTGTTTTGAATGCAAAAAGCCTGGGAAAAAAATCTGAGCAAAAACCAGTGCAATTGTTGTTGGTTTTATTCTTCAAAGCAGCACGAATTGAGAAAACCCCTGGAGCTCGCATATGAGATCCGTTTTGAGAAAACTTCTCGATTTTTTTTTCTGAGGACACTCCATTTTAGTATTTCAGTGAATTTTTGACAGAGTTCGTTTCAGTTGAGGCTCGAGTACGGAAATTTTCAACTTTCTTTCGATTCTAATTATCTTTTCCGGAGCATTCTCTAAATGACTGTTCGTTGCTATTATGCGGCGGGGATTTCTCAACTGATCCTTCGAAACGTT